CTGCCATGAAAACAAACGTTTACACTTAAATCTGAACTGAAGAAGCTTGTAGAAAATTTGGGGGGCAAAAATACTTTAGCAAACGAACATTTAGTATTTTTAAACGATACTCTTTTGTGTAATTTAGAATCAAGTTAGAGAAGCATTTTAGATCAGCAATCAAAGAAATCAAACAGTCCTGAAACACGAAACGTTAAGTTGACTCGGGTAACGGTCCCCGTAGGGCTGAAAGCGTACGGATCAGACTGCTGTGACATGTCTCTTAGCTCTGACGAAGGGGCAATGTTAGAAAAGTCAGCTTTAGAAACATTTTACAGGGAACAATTTACATCATCAACACAGCGGTTAACTGTAAATTATCTTACTAGAACATGATAATGTTTACAGCTCAGCAAATCAAATCTTGGAGGAGGAGGAGGTTCGACATAGAAAAAAAAACGGAAGCCCTAGATCTTTATTTCCAGTTATACGATCGGTCATCCAAGGTTAGTGATTGGATCGTTGTTCGTTTCCAATCGTCTAGTTAAGAGTTAAGAGTTCAGACCTTTTTCCTTTTTTGTAACATTTAAAACACAATGTGAAAAGAAAACCTGCATGTAATTAAATAAACTTTGTGCTCGAAGAGTCTCTAGTTTTCATTTTTATATCAGAATTTGTTTCAATGTGACAGTGGTAGTTTGTTATAATTTTCCATTGGGCGTTTGCTCCGGAAAGTGGAACGCGGTTGGCGCCAAAAACTGACCTCATTTGCGCGTGCCTTAGTTTCGGCCGCTGTGTTCTCAACAGCAATGGATGTTTTTACAATTTTTCTGTAGGAAATACGGAAAGAAGTATGTTGAAGCTATTAACTACAAGGCATCTCTCGAAGTGGAGCTCATTAATCTATTGGGGCCAAAATCATCCTATATGTTCTAAGCAGCAAACGAAATAAACTGCAGCATTGGAGCAAAATGAACATTTGAGGTGGTTGAAATGCTGTACGAGATCCGACTCAAATGGCAAATTAGAGACGATTTAAAGCGAAGTAAAGCGATTGATAGAGACAGTATAAACAGTTAGGCGGTTCAAACGGTCAAACGATAGACCCGAATAGATAAAATTTACGGTAAAGAACTTACTTGAATGACACAGACAAAGACAAATTATGCTAAAAAAGGTAACAGAATATCGATGAAAGTAATGTCTGTAAAAACAAAAGAACTCCTTTGATAGCTTTTCCACCCTCATCGCTGAATTGTTTCTTCCAGGGCAAGTCGTTGAATCATCTGCTTCCGGACCAAAACATGACACAAATGAAAACAGTTGCGAGACCGTGATTATCACCTTCTTCCGCGCTTGGTGAAATTCCAAATTCTGCATGTCATGCGTGTCACAATTATTATGTGTATGGCTGAAAGTCGGGTCACCTGGAAGAGTCGATTCACTCTGAATTCCACCCATCAAAGAATCCTTCTGACTGTGATATATATGTGAAACATCAGAAACGACTCGATCTGTTCTGGAACCTTATCGACGCCTTATCGAGAACTTCACGAGATATTCCACAGCCTGTCGTTGCGTACCATACTGCGAAGTTAAGTTGAGGCCAGTAGCTCATATTCGCCCAGCAAGCCATCCCTGCGCCTGGCCTGTAGAGTGCTGAATTTTCGTTCTTGTAAATATTCTTCTGAATTTTGCATTGAAGTACTGATTTGGGGCAACAAAGAATGAAATGGAACTGCCGGCACCTCCTTCTTCACCACTCGGCTCCGAGTGAGTTCAAGGGGGAAATCTCCAACTCCAAGTGCCTTCTTCACGTCATCATCCCCATATCTTCTGTCTGATCTTGAGACACTCGTCTGAACTCCACTGATGTGATCGATTGAAGTATACTTCAGCTGTTATCTGTCTTTGTAATCAAACAACACTTGCCGGCGCACTGAACTTACTCAGGTCTACATTTGGATATCGTGCTCTGAAATCATTCTAAGCTTTTCTCCTTGCTTTATCTTCAATTTTACTCGCTTCATCTAATCTTGACCATGCAAACCCCAAACGAGATCGGAACTCAAAGAGTTAAACATTTCTATTGCTTTTATAATCAAAATGGTTGTTTTGACAGTTATTGCAAATTTAAATGGTTACACAGTTCACT